GAAAGGTAAGGCCGTACTCGAGCCATTCAAGCACTTCATGATCATGCAGATTCCTAGAGATAGTAATTCTGTCGCAGATGCCTTGGTAAAGATAGCCTCGTCGCTGGACTCAGATACGCCAGAGAGTATTCCTGTTCGGTTCATAGAGGCCCCCAGTATCAGCTCGCCTGAATAGGCCGTGAATGTGGTCGAGTCAGTTTCCTGGATGACCCCAATCATCCAGTATCTCTGAGACGGGACCTTGCCCAACGACAAGATCGAGGCAAGAACCCTGCGAATCACAGTTGCTTGTTACACACTTCTAGGAGATCAACTGTACAAGCGAGGGTTTAGCGCCCCTCTCCTCCGATGTGTAACCGATGAGGAAACAGACTATATCATGAGGGAGATACATGAAAGATCTGTGGTAATCACACGGCCGCACGATCCCTTGTCAACAAAGTTGTTTGTCAAGGATATTATTGGCCACTACTCTAAGAGGACACATACAACTTTGTTAAAAAAGTGTGACAAGTGTCAACGGTTCACGAACATATCACGAGCTCCTTCCCACCAGCTGATAACCATGACCAGCCCCTGGCCATTCTCCATGTGAGGAATCGATCTAATTGGACCCATGCCAGTTGGTAAAAGGGGAGTCAAGTATGCAGTGGTTGCGGTGGACTACTTCACCAAGTGGGTCGAAGCGGAGCCTTTGGTCGTGATCACCACAAAAAAGCTCAAGAACTTTGTCTTCAAGAACATTATGTGCTACTATGGGATTCCTCATACCCTTATCTCCGATAATGGAAAGCAATTCGATAATGAGGAATTCAAGCAGTATAGATCGGGAAGGTCGGTCAAATCGATGGTGGGGTTCTTCGGTCGAAGGGTATAGATGGACTGGATCGTCTAGTCGGTAGCCCTATTCTCAATCTCCAATTCTTGTCACTGTATCTCTTCGGTCAATGAAGCAACACGACCTTGGGCGAATTGGAGTTTGGCCTCAAGCGCCCACCTCTGCCTCTCGACGGTCTCCCACAGTTGCACCCTTTCCTGCTCTGCTTGCTAGGCCCGCTCGGAGGTCGTTCGTAGCTCTAGGTCTTTCTCGCCAGCCTCTTTGGTAAGCCTGGCCACTGTCTGTTGAAGCTCTTTAACTTCCTCTCCTAGCTTCTCCAGCTCGGCCTTTTGAAAATCCACTAAACGAAGTGCAGCGTTCCTCTCAGACATGTATTGATTCGCCCGAGTGGTGGATAGGTCTCTCTCTGCTTGTGTGGCTTCTAAGTCCCGTTTAAGCTGCGAATTCTCTTCTCTCAGCTCGACCAGCCCCTTAGCAGCCCCTAGCTGAACCTTCTATAGGGACAAATGCATGGTGAGCAGGGCCTGCGTAACGAAGAGAGTAAAGAGTTAATTTCATTTCTATTGAAAAAAGCAAGGAAATGTAAAAAAGTCCTCGCCGAGGACGGTTCGTTTTACCTGGCTCAGGTGCTGAAAGGACATGGACATCAGATCCATGGGGTTGGAGGCCACGAACTACTCGAACGCTTCCGCGAGCTAGCACTCCAGCAGGGTAAACACAGATGCAAATATTCTGGAAGTTACCCCATAGAGTCCAGCACGGGCATGCCCGTGCCCCCAGCAGGTAGCGTCTCGCCCGCTGGTTCCTTGCCCTGCCTTCTCCCAGGATCCGAAGCCTCTCTTTGCCTCATTCGTGGACCCTCTGGGGGAATGGTAATGCCGTTCGCGGCCCTAGGAGTCCCTCTTGAGCGGAATGCCTGATAAGACTGCAACCTTTCGGGCTAAACGCCTAGACCCTCCGGCACGAATTCAGACTCCTTGACCTGAAGCTGCTTCCTCTTCTTAGACTTCTAGGCCATTGTCTTTTGCTTGGGGTGAGCAGCTGAAGGTTGAGAAGCAGCTGAAGGTTGAGAAGCACCTGTAGGTCAAACTGGTGCACTCGCCAGAGTTCCTCTGACAGGAGGACCACTGGAAGCCGCCTCGGCTGGTCTGATGACTCGAACTCAAGGGAAGTTGATCTGCCTTGGTTGCGGTGACCTGGGCACTTTAGAAGGCATGGTCACTGCATGTGAACATCATTAGCTAAACAGTTCGTTGCATGTAGATAAAAAAACAGGCTAAGGTTATGGTACTTACTCGATATGGTTTCTAAGGTCACTTCGGGATTAAAGAAATCGTATTTTCGCAAGTTTGCAGTTGTCACGAGCAGCCTCGCGTTGCGACTTTCTTCGGGCAGAAGGCCGAAGGCAATGACTCTGTCAAGATCCCAAGAGCCGATAACCTGGTCATCTTGTTGATTGCGAAGAATAAAAAAACTCGTTAGAAAAGATTAAAAGGAAATTTGCCAAGTTGAAGAAAGGAAAACCTACTCGGCTCCCTAAACTGGCAAATGCCATCATAGTGGAAAAAGAAAAACTTTGTCTCGTACGCCCTGACATTGCTGGGGTAACTGTGTATTCCTGCCTCGATTGTTGATCGCTTCGAGAGGTAGAAGGAATCCTTGTCCTTACTCTTCTTCAGGTAATACGAGCAACCGAGCTCTAGCGTGGTTAGCTCGTCCAAACCGTTCTCGCCGCATGCGATATACATAGCCACGGCAATCATATACGCGTTTGGTGTAAGCTGTAGCGGTGCGACCTCGATGTGATCGAGGATCGATCTAACAAAATGGTGGAAAGGTATCAACACTCAACTTTTAAAAATGTTCTCGGAGATTGCAGCCATCCCTTCTGGAGGATTCCGAGCTGTGTACGTCTTATGTTGGTAAACCTCTACACTAAGAGCATATTGGTCTACCGCTTTCTGAATCTCCTTCGCGGTGGCTATCGATAGAATCTCCTGAGAGGGACCCGCTAGAGCATCTTGCACCAGCGAGCTCGCTCCCTCATCTGTCCCGGTTGCTGAGGGGTCCATTCTTCTGCGGTTTGAAAAAAGTGACATGTAGGAATTACTCAGTCGTTGTACACTATTTCGTACGATGACGTGAAGGAAAAAGTGAATGCTTCCTCCCTTAAACCCTAGAAAAACCCTAAAAGAATCCTTAGGAGCCACCCCCAATGGCTCAAACCCTAGGAGAAAGTTTTTCTCCGATTGACTACCAGTAAACACTTACGGTCACTACATGGCAATTATCAAAAACAGAAAAGATAAAGTGACAGAGGAACCATTCTTACCTTTTTAGATGAAGATTGATCGTCCTGCTCTGAGTGTCAAGTGCTCACCAGTCTGAAAAACGAAAAATCAAGGTTCACGAAAGTTTCTTGCTCTCTCTAAAGAAGTGAATATTGTGACATTACCTAAGGTGAGCCTGGGGTTTTATAATGAAGGAAGTGGCGTTTGGCTTTCCCGAAGTCAAACGACGTTTGAGCGAAAATCGCATCTCACTGTTGATCGCGACCACGTGTCGCTGATCAACAGGGAAGAGTGACTGTCACGCTTCGAGAAACCAAATCGTCATTTATTTTTGTTGAAACACTCGAGCGATGGCTCATTTCCCTCCTCCACATTAAATGCACTCACATCCGCATTTAATGTTCTAATAGGGAATGTCGTTTCAGCATGGCTCTCATTTAATGCACATGACTGGCACTTATTGCGCACATGACATGCCTGTTAGAGCAAAAGGTGTTTCATTAATGTATCAGCTACAAAAGTGCAATGGATAACATCTGAAGAGGTCGTTACGTGAAACACTCTTCGTCGCGTGTCAGTTGCGAAGCGATGTGAATTTGCTTTCAACAAAAAATATGCTAAGCGTAATCAGGTCTTGAACCTCGATCGAGACCAGAATCATCGTTATGGCATTGAATAAGGTCTACAACAGGTCGCGGGCCTTAAAGAAAATCATTTCAGGTCGCCTGCATGGAAATGTTTTTGCGACCTCTTTATAACCCGGTCGGATTGACCAGTGTCCATTCGACGCACATCAAATCAAGGCATAATTGTGTAGTTCTCAAGGTTCGATCCTCAAACCTTAAAAACTAGGAGACTTCTGTTATGCCTGGAAAAGTAGGGCTGACGCCGAGCCTTGTCAGTGTGGGCGGTCAGAGCTTAGGCATGTCTTACAACCATTCAAACGTAGCCACGTCGCATGTTGACTTGAGCGGTATGCTCCTGCCAGTGCAGTGGGTATGCGCCAAATTTGCGAAAGGCTGGAAACGGTCCACGTGTCCAATCCCTGCACGAGTCGAGGAAATCACTCGAGCAGGTGAGCAATGGGACACTGAGAAGGATTTGCACGGCATCTACCCCACTAACAGATTTAGTAATCATTACCTCAATTCATCCCACTATAGATAGAGGGCTCATCTCCCGTTTGTGGGATTAGTTAATTTTTCTCTGAAATAGCATACATTCTCTTACTCCCTTTAATTGCATTTCTTAAGCTATAAATCAGCTCATTTAACGCGACCTAACTTCATCCTTTAATACAATATCAGTGGATGTAGGATTTGCTTATTTAAACATCCGAACCACTTTAAACATTATTCTTCATCTCTTACTCAATCCAATACCCCCATATACACGTGAGATCTCTGAGTCCGCTCAGCATTTCCCACGTGCGATTAGTTGGTGTCAAAATCAAGCATCAACAATAAGTAAAATAAATTGATACATAAACAGAGCCATAAACCCTTGTTTAGGATCTCTATCTTCTTCAATCTCTAAAATATGCAATCACCGTCAAGCTCTTCAGGTATTCAACCGTGTACTCTTTACTTAATCACAAATTATCCAAAATTATCACCATCTTAATGAATATTTAGAGCAATTTATGATTTGCAAAGTGAAGAATGGTTCTTAAGGGTTTGTATCATGAATTTTGCGTATTTAGTTTATTTACTTAACTGTTCTTAAGCGTTTTAAATAACTATGCTCATGATACTTGTTTTCTGTAATTGCTTACGCATCAATAGTTTGGATTAATTTTACAAAATTTCAACATTCTTCTTTTTGATGTTTGAATCTTTAAGAAAAAATTCTTTTGGGTACAGTTGTGAATAATGAATGGTGTTGAGGTTATAGCTCTGGGTTTTATTCGTTTCTGTAGGACTTGGATACTTGGCAAAAAATAGGTTTATTATCTTACAATTTTATTGCATATAAATCAATAATAGCTGGTTATGTTATAACTCTGCAACTATGACAAAAATGCAGGCACATTGTTGGAAAGAGAGAATAATAGAAGATCCAATCAGGCAAGATGGCTCCAGTATAAGAGATCATCATCATGGGCTGATCTTCCACAAGAACTTCTTGAGATTATTTCTAAAAGTCTGAATATAGTAGACTATCAAATCCCTGGTCGAGTTTGCAGAAGCTGGAGATTGTTTTATTCAGAACTTAAACAGAGTTTTTTGACATCTCATTCACCACTTATTGTTCATGCATCAGCACGAGCTAAGAAGTATTGTCATTTCTTTGCCATAGCTACTCGAATGAAATACAAGACTAAGCTGCCTCGATGTATTTGCAACTTCGAATTCTGTCTTGGTGTATCAAGTGGGTACTTAATTATGCTCTCTCTCAAGACAAAAGATGTTTCAAGGGATTATTTATGGGTTATAAATCCTTTTACAGGACATCAAATCCTATTCCCTCGCATGCCCTGGACTCCTCATTGTGTTAAGGATTATCATGACCCTGGCTTCTTCCATAGCATCTTTGCTTCCTTTCGGTCAGAGGGACAAGATTTTCTTATTATGATTCTTGATAAGTATTGCTTAAGCTTGCAGTTCTGTATTTCTAGAGATAACAAGTGGAAAGAATACAGTTATTTTGGCAAGGGTTGGCATATTTTGGATATGGCTGTTTTTGATGGTAGGATATATGTTCTAAACAGCCTTTCTCAGATTGGGATATTCAACTTGAGATCTTGTGATTTGAGGTTTTTGAAACTGAAATTAGCACCTCGTTTCTTAAGTTGTTGTTATAACTGGATTAGGTTCGTGGTTTCAAATGATCATCTATTTGTATTTGTTTCGAATATAGTTTACAGAATAGACTTGTCAAGGATGGAATGGGTGAAGGTGTATAATTTAGGTGATCAAGCTTTGTTTCTTGGCCATGGTGACATGATGTGTTCCAAGGTAATTAACCCATCAAAGTGGGGAGGACAAAGCTACAACCAATATAATCTCTTATCTTCCCAAAGATATAGATATATTGAATTATTCCCTACAACCACAAGGAGCTACAAAAAACTATTACCGTTTATTTGCCACTACAAGGGTTTGGGAAAGGTTATGCTTCCGCCAAAATATATTCTTGGTATTTTCTAAACCAGTCAAGTAGTATTTTGAGAATGTAAGGGATGAGTACTGGGGTGGTTTGTAAAAATTTCTAAGCTTAGAAAAGGGCAAGTGTGAACTCCGTTTTTTTCTTTGTCGGAGTTATATGTTGTTTCTTCTAGCTCTTTTACAATTGTTAGTATGCTTAGAGATAGTAACAATACAATATTGTTGACAATTTGCTAAATCTTGTATATTTCCATTATCAGATTTTTATCTTTTCTGTGCACCTAGAATTAACATTAAATTTTCAAAACTTTCAGGGCAGTAAATGTATGAGCAATGTTGTTAATTCTTGCTGAGCTTCAATAGCTCTTATGAGCAACCATATTTAGTTGCTTGATATCTTGAATGTTATAATTAAGGATTTGATTGAAGTTTAACCACTTAATTAAATATCTCTAAACTTGATACTGCAGTTTTGGTTGTTATCTAATATCAATGGTCTCTCCTAGAATATAGTGATGAAGAACAGAAAGACTATAATTTTTATTTAAACAAAGATTTTATTGTTAGTGATATATAACAATATAACTATTCTAGGGATTTGATTTTAGTTTTCCTATCTTAATTTTTTTTGGATTTAATTTTAAAATTTTCTTATTTCAGTTGGATTAGGATTTCTTATTAAGGTATTATCTTCTCTATTTTTCTTATTATCTTCCAACCTTACCACGAATGTAAGGATTAAAATCAATATTCTACCCTGAAGTATTCGAAATTGAGAGTTTAGTCAAGAGCTATCTTATATTACACAAACATCTCCTTTGCAGTCAATTTCCACCAACTATAGACCTATGTTGATCAATAAAAAGACAAAAATACCATTGATTTGAAAAAAAAGAGTTTAAGGAGACTCATGAGAGGATGAAAATACCCCTGGTTTGAAAAATAAAGGAATTTAAGAAGATTAATGAAAAGACTAGAATAACCCTGGGTTGAGAAAAATTGTACTTTTGTTTCACATGTAAAATTTGTCAAAAAAAAAAAGATATATTATACAAAAGACATTATTATAATAAAGTGAAAAAACTACCCCATCTGTTTTTTTTTTAAACGTCGTTTTAAGAGTATAAATTTTTTTTTCAAATTAAATGTCATTGCTTTGTCTTGTCTGTCTCCCTTCTTCACTTTTCATCTGCCTCCCTTCTCCATTTTCCCTTTGATTGGTTGAGACTAATTAAAAATGTTAAATGTTGGGTCAGAGAGAAGAAATGTTTTTATTAAAAGTGGTTTATACCTTTAAAATGACTTTAAAAAAAAAAAAGAGAGGGAGTATAACTTATATGTCTAAGATTTAAGATAATTTTTATTAAAAAATGGGAGTAAATTAAATAATGTTATTGCACATGTTTTAGATAGTAATTTTTTTTTTTTTTTGGTTTTATGAATACCATGTTTATTTCTTACTTTTCATACGTGACATTACAAGGGCCTTTGAGTCTTTACATGTGTTACTCATATTCCAACAAATATTACTTAAATATTTTTATATTGAAAAATGTCAAATCAAGTTGACTCCTTAAACTCTATTTTTCTTAACCAAGGGTATTTGGGTTTTTTCATCACCCCTTAAGTTCCATTTCTTAAATTAGGGGTATTTTAGTCTTGTCATAATTCTCCTTAAACTTCTTTTTCTCAAACCAGGGGCATTTTTGTCTCTTTATTGGTCAACTTGGTCGCAGTTAGATTTAACGGTGAAAATTGCACGCAAGGGAGGTGTTGTGTAATATGCAATAGTTTTGGACCACACTTAACTTTGGATATTTCAGGGAGGAAATGGTTTTAATCCCAGATATAATCTATAAAATTTTGAGAGAGATTATTATTTTCTGAACTCGAGTCATGGCAAATGCTGAAGGCACAGTGCAGAGAAGATCAGAGAATAATGAAATTAAGACAAACAGGAAGAAGATGAAAAAGGGTGTCTGCTCCTATCAAAGTTCATGGGCTGATCTTCCTCAAGAACTTCTTGATATGATTTCTAATGATCTGAATATAGCAGACTATCTCAGATTCGGTAGAGTTTGCAGAAGCTGGAGAACATTTATTTCAGAACACAAGCTCAAGTTCATGTCATCACAATCACCTCTTGTTATTTACATGTCAACACGATATGATGAGAATTCTTGTTATTTCTTTGACATAATTACTGGAATGAGATACAAAACTAATCTTCCTAAGGACAATTGGGACTTCAAGTCCTGTCTCGGTGTGTCGAGTGGCTACTTAATCATGTACTTTATGAAGAGAGTTCATCGTTTGGAGGGTCATTTTTGCCTTATAAATCCTGTTACAGGACATCAGCTTCAATTTCCTTCCACGCCCTTTCCTCTTTATATTATAAATTATTACATTTCTAACATCTGTCGTGCCATCTTTGCTTCCATTGGGTCTCAGGATCAAGATTACCTTATTGTGATTCTTTCAAGGAAGCTCGACTATTTGCAGTTCTTCATATCTAGAGATAATCGGTGGAGAAATCACTCCTATTATGTAAAAAACAATAATCGTGTTTTAGATATTGCTGTTTTTGATGGCAGGTTATTTGTTCTAACTGAGGATTCTCAGATTGGCATGTTCAACCTGAGATCTTGTAATTTGAGGTTTTTGGAACTGAAATTTGCGCCTCGTTTTGACTGGTATAGGTCGAGGTTGGTGGCTTCAGATGATCAACTTCTGATAGTATATAATTTTGAAGTTTACAGAATCGACTTTTCAAAGATGGAATGGGTGAAGGTGAATAACTTGGGTGAGAAAGCTTTGTTTATTGGTTATGGTGACAAGTGCTGTAAGTTAATTAACCCCACAGTGTGGGGAGGACGAAGTAACTGCATATACATCCTTGATGACGAGAAAATATGTGAAGTATACTCCTTAAATGGTGGGTTCCTGGGAATTTTGCCTCTTATGGGAAAGAAATTTTGTCCTGGAACATGCTCTTGGTATTTCATAAGCCAATCAAACAGCATAGATAATATAAAGGATGATTAGTTATGCAACAGGCTCAGTTCATCAAAGAGCTTTTTTTTTTTATTTTCTTTGCTTTTGTTCTAGTTATGACATAATAATGATTCTTTAAAGTGTCTCTACTGCATATATTGATATGTTTTAGTTCTACAAATTTTTAATCATTTTGATAACATCAAACTAGTTCAATCTGTTGCCTTGCTACAAAATCTTATCCTAAAGCATCAGACTAGGAGAGAGTGTGGGGTTGATCAGAATTCAAAAGCTACTTTTAATGTGGTTAATTATAAAAAACACCCTAAATTTAAATTCCTTTTTTGTGTTAAAATAATTTTTAATTAAATTAATAATATAATAAAAAAATCGCTAGTTGATATATCCAGTGGAGTGATCAGATAGGTTGTCGCCTTTCGTCNCAGCCCTACACAAGGCAGCAAAGAGAATGAAGAAGTGGGCTGACAAGAAAAGAAGGCATGTTGAGTTCCAAGAAGGTGATCTTGTTCTCATAAAACTTCTGCCCCAACAGTTCAAGACATTGAGAAAGGTGCACAAAGGCCTCGTGCGCAAATATGAAGGGCCATTTCAAGTGATACAACGCATCGGCAAAGTTTCATATCGACTCCAGCTTCCTCCGAAACTAAAGATACACCCGGTCTTTCATGTAAGCATGTTGAAGCCATTTCATGAAGACCCGGAGGAACCATCCCGAGGAGTTTCCAATCGAGCACCAACAGCCGTTGTAACATCCTTTGATAAGGAAGTTGACAACATACTTGCCGACAGAGTCATTCGCCGACNTCTTGGCCACTCTCTGGCAGTTGTATAATGTTTTTAGTTTTTTAATTTTTAATATATTTAAAAATAAAAAAATTAATTAAAGAAGAAGCCTATTTGTGTCGTTTCATTTTCCTATTGAAATTGGGATTCATTTTCCTATTGAAATTGGGACTTTTGACAACCGTTATAAGATAAATAAAAGAGTAATGTCCTACTAAAAATCTTGAATTCCCATAAAGACGCTATCACTTAACAAAGTCTATAGCTTGCCAATGAAACATCGCTTGTGCCATCTGAATATTTTCTCTTTTCATGAATCACAACATTATGAATTGTCCACAAATTATTTGTCTACCTTCTACTTATTCTATTTAGCAACTCTCTGTCTAAAGTTTACGGATCACAATAAATAAGAGGAAAATCAATTTAAATAACCTACAGTCTCTCATGTCGAAGAACTATTATAAAATGTGATTGTCCAACAGTGTGATGATACACACTGAAATCTTGCTCTTAGTGTCACTACACACGCTCTTGGCATCACTACAATCTTGCCAATAGATAGCGGCTAACTCGGGTAAAAGTGATTTTACCAAATCCTATAATAAATCAATAACCCACTATGTTAAGAATGATATTATTTATTACAAAACCTTATCTTGAATGTTTATAAGAATATGAAAATTTAGGGTTTTAATATGTATATTGGGTGCAAAAGGTATTGATAGTGAAAAATTAATTTGTTTACTTAATATAAGGGTAAACTTATGATTTTTAAAAATAATAATAAAAAATGGGGTGTGTTTAGTTTGATGAGCCCTTTTTCTAAATGATTTTTCGAAGATTAAAACTTTAGAAAATCGAAAAAAAATCACATACTATGCATTTTGGGTCGGGGTTTGTTTTGTTGTGCTGCTAAAATCCAAATTGAATTATGGTGTATACATTTGGTCGTGAGATCTTAAACTTTGTGGGGGACGATCTTTTGAAAAGAAGTTTTTGGTGCACACCTAGGGACGATCTTGTTGAAAGTTGTCATTTTGATCTGGTTTTTTGCATGGTGGTGGAGAAAAATTCAAGGAATCTAACAAAAAAAAAAAAAAAGGAAGAAATTTGCACGAGCCCTTTTTTTTTAAATGATTTTTTGAACATTAAAACTTTGGAAAATCGTAAAAAATCACATACTATGCATTTTGGGTTAGGGTTTGTTTCGTTGTGCTTCTAAAATCCCCATTTGAATTGTGGTGTATACATTTGGTCGGGAGATCTTTAACTTTGTGGGGGACGATTTTTTGAAAAGAAGGTTTTTGGTGCACTCCAAGGGATGGTCTTTTTGAAAAATTCAAGGAACCTAATCCAAAAAAAAATGAAGCAATTTGCACGAGTTCTTTTTTTTTTTTTAATGATTTTTTGAAGATTAAAACTTTGAAAAATCGTAAAAAATCACATACTATGCATTTTGGGCTGGGGTTTGTTTTGTTGTGTTGCTAAAATCCTCATTTGAATTGTGGTGTATACATTTTGTTGGGAGATCTTGAACTTTGTGGGGGACGATCTTTTGAAAAGAAGGTTTTTGGTGCACACCAAAGGACGATTTTTTCGAAAATTGTCTTTTTGATTTAGTTTTTTGCATGGTGGTGGAGAAAAATTCAAGGAACCTAACCCAAAAAAAAGGAGGCAATTTGCACGAGCCATTTTTTTTTAATGATTTTTTGAAGATTGAAATTTTGGAAAATCGTAAAAAATCACATACTGTGCATTTTAGGCCGGGGTTTGTTTTGTTGTGCTCTTAAAATCCCCATTTGAATTGTAGTGTATACATTTGGTTGAGAGATCTTTAACTCTGTGGGGCACGATCTTTTGAAAAGAAGGTTTTTGGTGCATACCAAGGGACGTTCTTTTCGAAAGTTATCCTTTTGATCTAGTTTTTTGCATGGTGGTGGAGAAAAATTCAAAGGACCTAACCTAAAAAAAAGGAGGCCATTTGCACAAGCCTTTTTTTTAATGATTTTTTAAGATTAAAACTTTGGGAAATCGTAAAAAATCACGTACTATGCATTTTGGGTCAGGGTTGGTTTTGTTGTGCTCCTAAAATCCGCATTTGAATTGTGGTGTATACATTTGGTCGAAAGATCTTGAACTTTGGGGGTGACTGATGAAAATCCAAGTCTATCATGTTCTTTAAGCATGCAAGAGAGTTCATTGAAGATTCAAGGACCCCAAGATGGACAACATTTGGCCCAAGCACTCAAGGAAGCTCACAAACTTGTCCAAGAGGTGTTAAGGGTCCAACAAATGGCACAAGCCCTTTTTTGTAGACCAAGTCATGGAGATCAAGTGGGAAGAAGCTTCATTGGCCCAAGCCCAAGTTGTGGATGCTATCTGGTTCAAATGTTTAAGGAAAATCAAGAAAATTTTGATTAGGGACATAGATCCTTAATTTAGGGAAAGGTTGTCCATCGCATTAAATGGGTATGACTTGCACTTTTGATATTGTATGGTGGGGAATTATCCCTTAATATTTTGTGTAATATTTTATTGTAATATTCATGTAATATTTGCTAGGGTAATTCCCTTGTTTTTGCAAAGCCTATTTAAAGGCCACTTTGTCATAATATGAAGTTAGACAATGAATATTGAATGAACAGTATTTTGTTTTGGAGAATTGTTTTCTCTTGAGTTACTTTACCCAGGTTCAGCCAAACTTGGTGGTGGATTGATCCTTCAATCTGGTGGAGTTCCTTTAGGCTTGATTGATCCATTGGTCATCTATCTTGTAAGTTAATCTCACTTGGTTACCATTCATCTCACTTTTCAGGTTGGTTTATTTTGTTGTGTTCCAAGGTTGTGTTGCGCATTTCAAAATGGAATGAGTTTGTGTTGATTGAGGCTTGATATAAGGTGTTGTTCTAAGGTGTTATAATGGTTGTGTGTGCTTGTAAGGTGTTAGCCGAATTGTGTTAAGGTGTTACAAGTGAAGTCTTACTTAGGTTGAGTTAAAATTGGTTGAAATAAGGAGACATATGAATTAGTTTGTAAGAATTCATATCAATTTGGTATCAAAGCTATGGTTGTGGATTGAATTTGTGATGATTGGAGTTGTGATTGATCAGAAAAAAAAAAAAAAAATGGTAAGAAAGTGTTGAGTGTGTGTAGTTCGGCCAAACCATTGAGTTGCCATTTCTTGTGCAAAAATTTTCTCTTTCATTGAACACTATTCCAAGTACCAACCCTACCACCAACTTGACATCTCATCTAAACTTAACCAATTCCATCCAAATTCAACTAAAACCAATCCCATTTCAACCAAAAACCCTAAACACTAACCATTTACATAAACACCATTCCTTAACCTAATTACATATTATTATTCACAGATTACTATTCATAGGTTACTATTCACATATTACTATTTCCCAAAAGCAAATTACCCAAATTTCATCCTCTCACCCTTCACATCTCAAATAACATTACTCCATTATTCCAAAGTGACACTGTTCACCCCAAGTTACTGTTCACAGCAGCTAAAACTCACCCAATTTTCATGGCAAACAAGACCACTTCTTTCCCAGTGTGCCAACCTAAAAATCCAAGAGAAACTTGATGATGTAAACAAGAACATGTCCAACATGATGGAATTGATGGTTAACATGTCTAAGGTCATTGCTAATCTATCCTAATCCAAATCCATCATTGAAGAAACCCTATAACCACCCCAACGAGAAGGTCGACCACACTACTGCCAAAGAACCATCATTAGGACACCACTATATATGGAAAACTTAAGAGGTAGTAGTGCTTCCTCTAGTGAATCTAAGGCACCTAGGAGGAGAAGAATTGATAATGATAGGGGTATCAAAATAGATTTGCCTGAATTTGAAGGTAGTTTAGATCCTAATGCTTTCCTTGATTGGTTGAGTGATATTGAGAGAGTATTTGAGTTCAAGGGGTATTTGGATTAGAAGAAATGTAAGGTAGCTATTATGAAGTTCAAGGGATATGCTTCCTTATGGTGGGAAAACACTAGAAAGAAAAGAGAAAGAGAGGGGAAGACTAGAGTACGGTCATGGGATAAATTGAAGAGGATGTTGAAAAAGAGATTCTTGCCCGATAATTACAAGCAAGATCTCTACTTGAATTTGTACAATCTTAAGCAAGGGGATAGGAAAGTAGAGGAGTATGTAAGGGAGTTTGAAGGCTTTATGATGAGAAGTGATATTCTGGAGGAAAATGAGCAAACCATCACT